AATGAATGTATGTATTTAGGTACATGAGAAGAATCGTATCTATGTAATGAATGTATGTATTTAGGTACATGAGAAGAATCGTATCTATGTAATGAATGTATGTATTTAGGTACATGAGAAGAATTGTATCTATGTAATGAATGTATGTATTTAAGTACATGAGAAGAATTGTATTAATGTAATGAATGTATGTAAGTACATGAGAAGAAGTATATCTTTGAACTGAATGTATGTATTTAGGTACATGAGAAGAGTTCCAATGGCTGGCATCAGACTGATCTTCTTGAACAGCATGATCTGCGTGTGAATGATATTGACTGGGCTCCGAACACGAACAGAATTGTGACCTGCAGCGCTGACCGGAACGCCTATGTCTGGGTCAAAGGTAGAAACTTAATGTTTTTCTGAAGATCGCTGTAGAGTGTAAACATAATTTCAAGTTATACCAACATAAATTGTGTTTAATTTTGACATTTTTTTTAAATGTCTCTTCACTCTGCAGCATAACTTTGTAAATCACTTTTGTAGAGAAAACATAACTAAATAACATAATCATATATAATCTTAAAAACTCTGAACAAATTATTCATCCTTGAATAGGCTGGAGTATCACTGACAATTACGTCTGAAACAGTCTCTCTAAGGATTTTTTGTTTGTTAGGGAATGGGTAGAAAGTATCAAAAAGTACACGATGTCCAATTTTTCATCTGTTCCTTAATATACGGTTGTGCAATTTCTTGGCAAATCAGCATTAATTTTGATATTTGTCTCAATTTCAACCAGAAAGAAGCTGTCTGATAAAAACTTTAGAAACAATCTTTTTTAATGCTTCTAAAACGCGTGGCACACCTTATACTACGGAATTTACATAAAAATTGCATTCAACTTAGAACAAAAGATTATATACAAATTACAAAATAATATTTATGGCAGATTTTACAAATGTCTAAATGTTGTTTCTTGGCATTTTTTGGGGTGTAATTGGTGTACGTATAGTGTACACTGTACAGAGCCCGTTCTCTCCCTAATAAAGTATGAACAGTTGTCGTCTTGTTCACGTTCTTTGGGGGGACGATAGTTTGGCCGCTAGATGTCTCACTCAAAATTCTGAACTGATAGATGGATAATTTAAACGTCCACAGTACGACCACAATTGGGGGACGTCATTTGATGTTGAAATGAATGGCCTCAGATAAAGCCCTGGCCTCGAATGAGCTGATCCTATTTTTAACGATGTGTAAATGTTCAGGTTCTGATGGTAAATGGAAGCACACTCTTGTCCTGCTGCGTATCAATCGTGCAGCTACCTGTGTACGCTGGTCACCTCAGGAAAATAAGTTTGCTGTCGGTTAGTTCAACCTCTTCTTTTTATTAGAATCTGTTTACGAGATTACAAGAGAACCGTCTCACTTACCGGATTTACAAGGGTATCCATTGTTAGCAAAAATAAAGAGATATTCTTATTTTTTTAATGTGGGTTTTCTGTAAAATTGAATTGCGGATTTATACAGTAGAGATAAGGAGGGAAATTGACATAATTTTTTTTTCTTATTGTTGGGAATCAGGCATGTAACTCTTTAAATGGAGGGTCAACTGGATCATTGTAAATTACGTTAAGAGTCCCTTTAAGTAGAACTTTTTCTTCAAATAAACACTATTTGACGAATGCTCTTATTTGCTTTTTTCGAATTTTATTTTTTTTTCTTTATTTATTTGTCCCAGAGATATTTAATGATTGGGAAATTTAGACATCAGAAGTAAATTTTGGATCGAATTCAAGAACAACGCTACCCATCCCGTGTGACAGTGTCGTTGCTGGCTGTTATATGTCCCATATTTTTGTGACTTCTGCCTAAATATCGGTTAAAAATGATATCAGTACCTTTACCCAGGAACTTATACAGTAGTTTGAATTTGTCTAGATGGGGGGTTCAACCTCCCGGCGCCCCTACCGTTACCCCTTTTCCCGATGACCAAACACTCCCTTTAATGCTTCTCTGCATAGGATCTGGAGCCCGGATAATCAATATCTGCTATTTCGACCAGGAGAACGATTGGTGGGTCGCGAAACATATTCGGAAACCTCTTCGTTCTACCATCACTACGGTAGACTGGCATCCAAACAATATTCTTCTCGGTAAGGACAGGGGTGTATATTATATTTAGAAAATCACCCCCCCCCTAGTGAAAATCTTCTCTGTTGAATTTAATTTTTGTTGACTCATCTTTCATATCAGTTCTCCAGTAACAAAGATAAATATTCCAGCTGCTGGTTCTACTGATTTCAAGGTTCGTGTGTTCTCCACATACATCAAGGAGATCGAACCTAAACCTGCTCCCACCGAATGGGGAGCAAAGATGCCGTTCGCGAACCTGATGGCTGAGTTCTCCAACTCTCCGAGCGGCGGGGGTTGGATCCATAGTGTTGGATTCAGCCAGGATGGAACTAGAGTTGCCTGGGTGGGACACGACTCAAGTATTGCCGTGGCGGATGCTCCGAGCGGGATGGTGATGATGAAACTTAAGTTGAGCCTGCTTCCGTTGTTGACTCTGACCTGGATATCTCCAACGAAGATCCTGGCGGCAGGTCATGATTGTGTTCCGGTCATCTTCCTCGTCGATTCTTCAGGTACATTTTTGTGATAAAATACTTATGCGGCTCTTTATTTAGAATAAATAAATTATTGTATAATAATTTTTCAATATATATGATGAAAATTCAAGTATCGATTAATAATTTAAACATAAACTTAAGCCACAGCGCTCAACCCACAAGCATATCCTAGTCGCAGCGTTCGCCCCCTTCCCCCTTAGCCTATCCTAGCTGCAGCATTAGGCGCCTCTTGGTAGCCTAAAGTGCCAGCATTAGCCTAACCTAGAATAAAAAAAAATCAAGTTTTTGGAGTTTTGGAGGTTTCTCTTTTCAGCACTTTGTTTTTGTCAGGAGTTTTAACGAATTTATGCTGTTTGGAGTTTGTCCAGAGTATTTCATGAGTTTGTCATGGCATCTTTTTCAATTCGTTTTTTCTTTCAGGTAAGATAAGCCTTGGCTCCAGGTTGGAAGAGGAGACGCTAGTGGACAACTCCGGAGCTGCGTCTGCCATGAACCTGTTCAAGAACAAGTGCAGGGTTGGGACGGAGTTACTTGATACCAAGCTTTCCTCAACCCATCAGAACCAGGTTCAATTTTTAAACAAAAAAAAATTTTAAACAATGACATGACTTTAATTATTCCAATGAACATGAGACACTAAAATAATGCAGTGTAAACAGACCGATCTCACTTCAAATTTAATTTAATAAGTTACTGGTAAAGCTATTTATTTTGTAACAATAAAGTATTGCTTTAAAGCCGTCTTACTATTCCATAGTTTTCTGGTGTTTAATGTAGATCTGATGAACAATGGATTGGTTAAGCGCAAAATTAATTAAAAATATAATATTTTATTTTTAGATTTGTAGCATGCGTATAATGCACGGAACCAAAGGAGAGGCCCACTATGTCTCCACCTCCGCTGGAGACGGAAACCTAGTTATTTGGGACCTGGATACCTTGGCAACCAAGATCAAGGATCTCAAAATATAATTGAAACAATCTTATCTCCGCTTATGTATTTATTGTGTTGATATTTGTGTGATGAGTCACTTTACTTTTATTAATATAATTGTGAATATTAAAATCATAATCTCGATGTTTTACCAATAACACGTTTTTAATGAAATGGTTGTTTTGCATTTTTATTTTACAGACAAAATGACAGGAATAGTTCTTCCTGGAGTTTCTTTTCCCATTCCAGGAGCTCCGTCTTTATACTTGAGCAAGTATCAACCTCACGAGTCCTCTGACTCCAACCCGACACCGAATCCTCCAATCCGTCCTCAACACGGAGATCATAAACCACTCAATCCTCGGAGCAACAAAAGATCTTGCTTTCTCTGCCGGGAAAAAACTGATCAAACCGTTAATCTGAACTTAAGAGAGAATGTAAGCTGTAGGCTCACCCTTGAGCTTGTTTTCGAACGAAAACTTGAAACTAAGACCGTGTGCCATTCATGCCTACGTAGGTTTGAAAGCCTGTGGTCTCCTATCGTTGAATTTAAGAAAACTGTCCCAGGTACCTATTTTCAACCGTAGAGTCGCGAAATTTCTTCATTTTTTGTTATAATATAACATTTCTTTTTAAAAAATCGCGTTAAAAAATCGTTTCTTGATACAAGGAGAACCAGAAAACTGTGGAATATGAACACGATATTAAATCAATAATCAATAATGTTGTTTCAAAGAAAATAGTTTTCCTAATAACTTATTAAATCACTTGTGAAAAGGGTTTGTTTACACTGAACAATTTCGTTGTTTTTGACTTTTTAAAGTCATAACTTGAGTTTTAAAGTCGTCTTCCTATTCCCAAGTTTTCTGGTTTTCATTCCAAGGATAACAAATTATTTTTTTTGTCAGAATTCGATAAGACCGGATTGAATTCTGATCAATTTGCCGAGAAGGATCTCTCTTGTGTTCTCTGTGGAGCAGCTCCAAACCGGAAGTCGATGAACGGATGTGCTCTGCTCTCCGACCGACCGGATATAGTCTCTTATTTATCGTCCCAGCTCGGAGACTCGCTAAACCTGGAGGTTTATAGTAAAATTATCTGTTTTGACTGCTTCAGGTAGGTTTTTACGAAGATAGATAGATAGATAAAGGATTAACCACAAAAGATGAGACTTCAGAGACGACTGTACGATATTTATATTGTCTGAAGCCTTATATTTATGATTCCCTACAACTTTAAACTTGTTTATGCCTTTGTCAAATCATTGAATATGCCATTTAAAGATCTTATTCGAGACAGAAGACTAAATATAAGCTTGGGAGCATCACATTAAAAGATTTTCAGATCGTCTTCACAGTCTCATGCTTTGTGGGTAACCCCCTGTATATATTTCGGCCAAAAACCGGTTTTACAATTCATACATTTTAAATATTATGATTTATAAATAAATAATTCATAGCCAGGGCTACTCGGGCTACAGCCTAACCATTATTTAATTGGCTGGCCCTCTAAAGTTGTATGCTTACATTTTTTTTTAAATAACAAATAACTGATTGTAATGCATATTACAAATCATCTAAATTGCTGGAAATTCAGGGCTAGCCCCCCCCCCCTCCTATTAGTTTAAACCATGATTTTTAGTTTATATTTTCTATATTTCCAGTAAGATGTGGTAAATTTTAAAATTATGAAAGCAACTTTTTTTTGAGGGCATATTTTTTGATTCTGTGCACCTTCGGGCCTGTTCCAAGTCCCACACAAAAAATTGGGGGTTTATGAGTTGAGATTTATAACATTGGTTTAACTTTTCTAACGTGCAGGTTGGTTGAGAAGAGTATATGGATGGATGAGGAGCTAAGGAGTCTGGAGATTAAAATCAACTCAACCTTCTCCGAGTCTAGAGTTAAACTGGAGAAGGATATCCTGGTTAAATCTCAAGATCGGAGTATTGATCTTAACAATCTCTTCATCCAAGTTCAATCAATTTCTCTTAAAGATAATATCGTAAACTTGAGAACTCTCCGGAGTAAACCTATCCCTCCCGGAGCAGGGTTATCTCTCCAGGTCATCACGGAGCTCTGCTCCACCAAACCTGGTCTTGAAACCCTGGAGCTGTATACTCAGGATGACAAGTTTTTGTATCTATCCCTTAGCTCACTTCAAGGTTCAGGGTTCACTTTTCATCTAGACAATTCAAACCTGATCGTTAACCTAAGGTAAGTTTTTCTTGTGTGCACATTTTCAAGAATATTATACTAGAAACTTGAACTTGATTTTGTAATCTCAATTTTACAAATCCGTCACATTAGAAAAATAGACTTTTTTAATATAATGTTTTCGAGGAGAGGGTACCTAAAAATAATTCTGTTTTTCATATTATACAATAAACAATAAAAAAATTTAGAAAAAAATTATTATTTGCGTAAAACTACAGTGAGACCCATAGAACTGTATAGCGGGAAGATGACATTTAATCACTGATCTGTAAGTGATGTTGTTACGAAGATAAAAATGTTAATTAGCTTGAAAATAAACATGATTAAGTGAAACGGGTCTCTATACACTGGTTTTCATGAATAATTTAGAAAGATTATTTTATCGATTATAATTTTTAGAGATGAAGCTGAAGCGCTGGATGGAAAGTATCATTGCAACAATTGTGATTTTAGATCTAGATATTTCCATATACTCCTGGTCCACCTTAAAACCTACCTACCGGAGACTGCTGAGGACAACCAGGATGTAGCTTCTATAAAACTGTACAAGTGCCCGGCCTGCGGGGAGAGGTTCAATAGAAAATCTTTATTTAAAACTCATAGTTTACTCTGCAAATCCCTGGCCCCTTCTGGGTTTAATATCGAATGTACGGAATGCGGGAAAACGTTCAAATCTCAGGAGTCATTGCATGTTCACGTGGCAAAGGTTCATAACGGATCAGCTGCCCCCTGGAAATGCCCCATTTGTGAGAAAGGATTTACAAGGAAAGCGAGCTATGAAGAGCACATTGCAAGGCATACAGGCATTAAGGATAAATTTTGTGACATCTGTGATAAGTATTATTTTGAGACGGCTTACTGGAGGCACATGAAGTTGGTTCATCCCTTGGAGAAAAATCTCCGTTTCTCATGTCAAATCTGCAACAAAACCTTCTCCCAGAAGTTTAAACTGAACCAGCATCTGCCGGTCCACATGACGGAGACGGAGAAACCGTTCAGCTGTAGCGTGGCGGAGTGCGGTAAGAAGTTTGGAAGTTCTCTGAGATTAAGAAAGCACGAGAAGCATATGCACGAGGAGAAGGCTGTCACAGGGTCCTTGGTGTGTGGAGAATGCGGAGCAACTTACAGGTTGTAATATTTTATTTAATAAAATTTAAAAAAATGATCCCTTTAGGAGAGCTAATAAGTTTTATTTTCAGTAATTACAGTTCAATGTGTGGACACATAAAGCGTGTTCATAATCTGTCTCTACCCCGTCCCCTGCCCTGCCCACTGTGCCCTCAAACCTTCTCAACCTCTGCAGCATTGAATAAACATAAAACAATTCATCATCAACCAGAGAGGTAAAGCAAGTCCGCCCCCCCCCCTCCCCCCACAAAAATAATCCTCCAAAAAAATCTAAACAAAATTAAACTAGCTTATAATTATAAGTTTTTCAATAACAATTTATAAGCAAATCTGTTATTTTTTTTCTGTTACCCCTTTCCCTCTTCCTGGAGTTTTCTAATATTTTTCTATTTTCAGGATTTATTTTTGCGGATTTACTGATTGTAAGATAGCGTTTTCAGTGCTCACGGATTTACATCGTCACCAGGAGAATTGTCATATTAGTAGAAACCAGAACCTGGAGGTAGGGGAGGAGGAGGGGATCATCTTCAGGGGGGAGTTCACGGTAGCTGAACCCGAGGACGGACGTGTTAACTGTGTCGAGGGCGAGGTTGAGATTGAGGATGGAGGGAGTAAATCTGTTGAGCTTGAACTTCGTCCTCCTTCTCAGCACAGTTTTCAGTCCTCAGATGAACCTCAAGATTTGAAAAATCCCCCAGCGCCCTCCTTGGAACCAGAGCTTCTTCTGAACCCGGAGCTAAGCACTCCGATGGAGAACATCTCTTTAACAGAATATCCCCAGGATACCTCAGCTCCTATGTTACTACAGCTTATCAATAAACCGGAGCAGGACGGGTTGGGTTTAGAAAACTGTTCTCCGGATATGTTTATCCTAACAGAGTTTGAGTACGGTATTAATGAGGAGACAGGATCCCGATGTGAATCTTGTCTCACGGGATTCCCGGACAATAAGGAACTTTTAAACCATTTAAAAACTTGTAAATCCGTTCTCAATTTCAAGTGCTCCACTTGTAGACGAGAGTTTCCTACGGAAGCTCGGTTAGAAAAACACGTCAAAATCCACCAATCGGAGAAGAAGTTTATCTGTCCTTTGTGTGAAAAATCCTTCTCAACCGGGAAGATTTTGAGACGTCACTCCCGCGTGCATACAGGAGAGAAACCGTACGAATGTGAATATTGTCAGAAAAAGTTTGGATCCGGATCCAACCTGAGTGAGCATAGAACTCTTCACACTGGACGCATGGCTTACTCCTGCCAGCTGTGCGGAGGGAAGTATAGGCTGTGGTCCACCTACAACAAGCATAGGATGAAGTGCGAGGGAAAGGTCGGAGAGGAGAGTGGAAACCAGGATCCAGTTTCTCATTTCATCCTGATGAACGAGAATGTGGGGAGGATTAAGATGGACATGGAACAAGCATAATCTCTCATATATTGCATATATTTAAACCTGTGATAAATAATGTACCTAAAAAAATTAGAAGAATATTTTTATTTTCAGATTCATGCAGCCAACAATAATGGGGCTTGCATCTCAATTCTCGCAGAGAAAAGTGAAAACCTTTCTTGATATATTTCTAAGAACGGAGCGGGGTTTAATTCATCGGACTCCGTACCTTCTTGTGAACAGAACTTTGAAAACCGAAACTAAACCTAGACCCGGAGACAAATCTGTCTTCACTTCAAAGTCTAGTCCGGATATTAATATCAAATCTAAATCCGAAACTGAAAAATTACTAAATAAACTTAAATCCCTGAAAGGATCCGTGTCTGAAAAACTCCGTCTCTCTGAAACCATGACTCCGGAGTTGGAGCAACTAGTCCTGGAGAACCAACCAAACCGCTCCTTTTTACTCCGTCAAGCTCTGGTGGAGATCAAAGGTGCTGAGGATAGAACAAAGCACCTTTTATCCTTGCCGGAGTCCCTAACCGTAGGTAATTACAGTGTAGTTCAGTGTGTTAATATCATTTATTTTGGATGTCTTTCAGGTTAAGCCACACAAAACCTTCTTTCGGCCAAATACGAATCAGCTGTTTAAAGCGCTTAATCACTTCTAATCAAAAATAATAATTGTTCATTTCGAGTTGAGACGTGGCAAGTCACAATACCACAAATAATTTTGATTTAGTATATTTACCTCGAGATGTTACTGTGGAAATAGGACGCACCTAAAAATCTGTTTTGATTTGAATTTTAGATTAGCGGCATCTCACACTCAATTGAAAAAACTTACATTTAAAAAAAACTTAAATCTTTAGCTGAGTGTCAATGGCGTAATTTTTTTCAACGATTAAAAAATATTAAGTTTTAAAATATTTTAGTATTTAAAACTGTTTAGATGAATGGAGAACTCTGATAAGTTTACAGGACTACCGGAGTAGGTTGACCTACCTACAGTCTATCTACCTGGGCAAGGATTGTCTAGACGAGATCAGAAAGCAGGACGAAATATACTCTGGGCCACTGCAAATCAGGAATTTGTCAAATATTTTTTTTTAGAGTTACTTAATTGAATACTCGTAATAAATTTAATTCACCCCCCTCACCTTCCACCGAGAGAAAATAAATCCAACCATAGTATATTATTTTGTGTTTAAAACTACATTTCAAAATATATTTTGACAACATTATTTAGTGAAGAGATGATTTCCGAACTTGTTGGAGATGATAAGGAAATATATTTCTCTAATTTCACAAACTAATCGCTGTTAAACTGGGAAAAATCATTGTGGGCATCTTTTGGGAAAATGCGCCAATGCAAAAATTGAACCAAGCGTTTTTCATTCGGGTTTCTTTTTATATCATAAGTTCTAAGGGGAAAAAAACTAACTTATTTGTTGCATATTAGAATTTCTACACTTTGTTCTCCTTCACAATATTTCGTAAATTAAAAAGATAAGTTATGATCTAAAACAAGAAAGATTTTAATCCATCGTAAAATATAGTTTAATTTGACGATAATGCTTCTAATTTATTATTGTTTAACCCGCCAGGCGCCACATTTTTTTTAATCCGCGCCGCGCCTTATCATTTTTAAGCTAAAATCAAGTTATAATTTTCTTAAATCAAGGCTATGGGGGATTGATAACTTTTATAAACCTGAAAAATCATGTTTGTGTCCCTTTTAATATGAATCTTAAGTTTCCTGTTCTCTTAAGAGATATGTTGTGTGTAGGACGAACGAAGAAAAATCAAGATTTTCCAGGGTCACCACGAAATGCTTCGCCAAGAAGGTCAACTTCTACCCTCATCAGTTACAGAGAAGAACCTAACAGATATTCTCCATCTAACCGGAACCTCAAGGATTAAAAAATATCTCAGCTTTATGTTCAAAACTGAGATATCACAGTTCAACGAAGGACTACGTAAAGCAGAGAATGCCAAGCGAACCGAGGAGATGAAAAAAATCGCCAAGGAGAAGAAAGCAAACGCGAACCATATTGTCTACGGTCTCGGAGAGAACGTAATCATGCACCGTATCTCCGACTCCACGATGAACAGTTTCTTCAACTGGATTGCAGTGCGAGAGTTCCATGAATGGGGAATACCTTTAGTTATAGATATGTCTCACCATAAGTCCTGGAAGATGGATAGATCCTCGAAGAAAAGTTTATTTACAGAACTGAGCAACTCTATATCTATTAATAGAATGTATAAGGTAAACTAGATAAGCTAACTTGTTCAAGAATTGTTTAATATAAATTATTTTTGATTTTTTTAGACACCGTTCCAACTTCATATTACTGGGTTACAGGAGGAACATATGGAATCCTTGAAGAAAATCGTTCCATCCGTCAACGAACCTGACGCAGCATTTAATGCAACCTCTCAGGTATCTAATCCAACCTGGGGGGCGTGCCAGGGAGTATGAAATAGAAGGGAGATACAACTGACGCGGACCGCCCTACCATATGATTTTACATGCTTTGCAGACGGTACTCCATTTGTATAAGAAATATTTGTCTGATGAACAATTACCGCGTATACAATAACCTATTCTAGATATGCTTCAATTGGGGGAAATGAGTGAACTTTGGGATATAAAATAGCAGCAAAAAATATGAAAAACTTGCATTTCAATTTCGAATTTTTATTGTTTCCCTAAGAGCATCAAATTAACCCCCGTCCCCCATGTTAACCTTGATGATTTTATCTTTCATGCATGTATCGAGTTTGCATAAAAACTAATAAAAAAAATGTTTTTGCTCAATAAAGAGGGGCCGGGGGGCGTTTTCTTTTATTTAACCCTGAATTTCTGTTCAGAACCATCTTGATCTGTTCCCAGCAGAGAAGATGGTTTATCTTTCTCCAGACTCAAACAACGATCTTCAAAAGTTTAATCCTGACGATATTTACGTCATTGGAGGGATCATCGACAAGGGAAATGACAGGTAATAGTTTATTTAAGTTTGGGATTACTTCGAGGACCCCTATTGGAGTTATAGTAGGAATTAAAAATGGTGAAAGTCATCAATCTGCATTAGATGGTTTTTGCGAAAATCTATCAAGCCTTGCAGTACTGTCATCATACCACATTTTTAGAAAACGAAAAACACTAGACTGGGACCAAGAAACTCCATTTCTGAAAACCACTTCTGAATAACTAAACTATACTCATGCTAAAAGTCTCGTATTGCACTTTTTTTTTTGGCAAACCCTGTCAATTATAAAATGCGATATCCAGAGAAACGAGTATTAGTTTGTAAATTTTTATATTGGTTAATGTAATTTTGCTTTAGACAAATATAAATGATGAATTATATATGGTTTTTGGTGTTTCTTTCGTTCGTAAAATTTAATTCAATTTCATGTACAAATAATTCTTCCCATAATGAAGTTACATTTTTTTCCAGGTTTTTTTGTTCATTTAAAACTAGGGAAAAATAAAAATATTGAGAGGAAAATTAATGAATTTTTAGTGAGAAGTATTAAATGAGTTTATTATCATTCAGGCTACCACTGACGCTTTCTGCAGCGAAACGTTTGCGCATTCGCCACGCTAGATTCCCAATGCGTCAGCATCTTGGACTTACCGGAGATCTTAACGTTGACAGCTGTGTCGCCATTATGAATGATTTGAAGGTAACCCCTCATTTTTAAGGATAACTCTTCATATCTGGTTTAAATGTAATGTTTGGCTTTAGCTGTTTTTTTTAAGAATTTTCAAATTAAAAATTTAAATTTAGCTTTTTATAGCCTATTGTTCATTTGAACACTCAAATTATAAACTTTCACATTTTTCATAAAGTTCGTTGACGAAAATTGGGTTTTGTTCTGTCAGATTAAAAGAGAAAAACATTTTAAAATATGTTGAATCTCGTTGATTTATGAGGAATGGATCACAATCCTTGAAAGATCCATATTTTTACTTTTACTTTTTTTAATTGGCATTCTGATTTGAAAAAAAACGAAATATTTTTTTCCACGGGCAGCGCTGGGCCTTTCAACTAGTATTACATAAGTTATGAACTCTAATTCAACTAGTATTACATAAGTTATGAACTCTAATTTTATTTATCAGGCAAGCCAGGACTGGTTCTACTCTTTCCGCTGGGTTCCGTCTCGACATCTCGGGAACAGGGTGAAAACTAATCTTAACCCTAGTCTTCAGCATCAGCTTGCATACAGAGCACACAGACATCTCACACCCAACTCCTGGAAGGGAGAAACAGAATCAGTTAGAAACCTTAATCTTGGTCCAGCACAGTACAGGTAAGTGAGGGGAGTTCAAACGGTGTAAAAAAACATTTTCTCTTCTTCCTGCATCCGAATCCGTATTTTTAGCATTGGAAAGATTTGCTTCAAGATTTGTCTTTTGAAATTTATTAAATAATATGCTCATTTTTTAGCTAAGGTAAAATCTTAAATTTTTTACACATTCTTATTTGTTTTAGCTGGATCTAGAATTAGGATCTGCATCTAAACGAAGTTGATCCTCTTTTATTTTTACCATTAAAAGTCGAGTATTTACAGTATTTCATTGTTGACATAATTGAAAATTGACATTAAACTTTTCTAGGATGTATTATCAGAAGATTAAGGATTGCAAGACAAGAGAGGAATTGGACGAATTGTTAGAGGAGTTAAAAATTTGAAAGAAATAAAAACTATTAATCAACCTTTGTTTATTTTTATTTAAATTCAGTAAATTCCAAGTTCAGAAGCTGTAGACTACCCCCCCCCCCCCNCATTTTTTTAAACTTCAAAAAATCTGCGTTGTAAAAAATTATAAAACCTGTTATTTGATATTGCGCCGCCGTTGAAAGCGTAGAATGTTGAGTTGTTTGAAGCACTTTGTATTTGCCCCATCTCACAGTTCTAATTTTAAATATTTGGCATCCTGGACCAAAACAAGATTTACATCTTAACAGTAAAAACTCTGAAAAAAAAGTTTAGAATAAACATCAAAATGAGGAACATTTAAACGAGGCTCTGTGTTCCAATTAAATTTTTTTGTCAAAAATCTTATTACTCTGTTTGGACAAAAAGTTTGAAAGTTTGTGGGATTGTTTCAAATATGGGTATAAACCCTTGAGGTAGCATCAAATGCCCCCTTTTTATGGTTAACGCTTACTTTTTTTTCATCAAAGTAAACTTATTAACTTATATTTTATGTTGGTAGAATTTGGAACTAGGCTTATAATTAGGACCACAATCTTAAATCAATTTTATTTCCCCCTACATTACATTACATTTTGGAACTCCTTTAAACCCTTTTAATTTTCAGTACTATCATGTCTGCGACAGGAAAATGGAAAAATTCAGTTGAATAGATCTAATTACGCTTTTTGTGCAAATTATCAACTGTCATTCAATGTTTAATGGAACAATCTTTTGATTAAAATTTCTATTCACAACAATAAACTTTATTATAGTAAATGTACATACATAATAAACGTGTAACTAATGTATCTTGGTATATCAACTTACATAGCAAAATATCTAACTGAGAATAATTGTTTGTACATTTTAATCATATAAAAAAACGTCTATTTTTTAAGAGATATATATCACAGCAATATTGTGGTCAAGGGTCAGAAAGAAAGAAAGATGCCAATTCTTGTAGTTCAATATTATTTTGTAGCATAAGACAGTTTTACACAAATTAAATTAAACAGCTCAGGGTTGTTAATTGTTTTTTGATAATTTTAGAGGGGTTTTGGACAATTGGACCTTGGCCAATGGGTTTTACAAATTTCTAAATTGTATTTTAAATATTTGCTTTCCTCACACTATGCCAAATTCTTACCATAATGGAAAAATATGCACCAAAAAAAAAATTTCTCTTGGGATTAAAGTATTGCAAAGTTTAACTCCCCAAAATCAAAATGACTTAAAAATATAGAGTTTTTTTTTTTTTTTTGGGGGGGGGGGGGGTTAAGTAACCAAATTTTCAGAGGAAAGTACTTATAATGAGGGACAACTAAAATCGTTGTTAGGAACAGAAAAATGAGAGTTAATTCATGGAGAACATCATTTTTACAGGGGTAAATAGTTTTACAGCAACACAATGGTACAATTATAAAATATATTTAGAAATCCATTAACATGTCAACATCATAAAATAAATTAAACTGGATTTCATAAATTAATAATAATGTCAATTATTATTTTGAAAGATGACTAATAAGTAGAAGAGAGTATACAGTTTTGATTAGAGTCAGACATAGTTTATTTCTGTTCCTTTTAAACATTTAAGGTTTTTTGACTTCCAGGCGACTCAAAAAAAAGTACAAATTTTTACAATAAAAACCAGAAAACTGTCGAGTAGGAAGACGACATTAAAGCAATACATAAGGGCATTTGATGTTGTTACACAGCAACAAGTTGTACTGGTAAGTTCTCAAATCACTCATGAAGTGAAAAGGGTCTGTTTATACTGCACAATAAGTCGAAATCCTATCAGAGAGTTTTCTGGTTCTCACTGTATATAATTCAAATTTTTATTTTCTCTATCAATCCTTAGATAGGTTCATATCTTCTGCCAGAGTCAAGATTTTGCTGAGTTTTGAAAATTTTAAATTGTTAAACTTCAGATTTTAATTGAGTCGCCTGAAAGCTTACAAATCTTGAATGTTTTTAAAAAAAATGAGAAAAGACGATGCCCAAATCCAGTTTTGATATCGAATACCTGAACTAGAACTTTTAGCAAGACTACAATATGAACTTAATACTGAAGCACTGGAAGATCTTGTTTAAAAATCTTAAACTTTTCAATTTTAGGTAAAACCTATAAATTGATGGCTTTCTTATGTGTTTCCATTAGATAAAAATGTTTTGGTGACTTGATGACTTAAATTGGTTCAAATTTACAAAGTTTTGAAGGAATACATTTTTCGAAATAACCAGCCTATTTTCAAGTTAATATTCAGTTTTCCAACCTTATCCCATCTTAATATCAAATATTCTATCATCCGACCTAATCCAATCCCTTCTTCTCTACACAAACCTATCTTAAAATACAACTTACTCTAACCCCTTCATCACGATAACTTCTTAATTTTAGAAAAAAAACGTTCTTACATCAAACGATTCTAATTGAAGAAAACAGAAGTCAAAGAAGCTAACTACAGTTGGGGTTGGAGTTTCTCCAGACCCTGTCATTCAACACTCAAGGTACATAGAAGAGTAGGAAGCTCAAGAACCGTCTCAGGATCGGTAAATCTTGATTACATCTTGGATTGAGTTCCTGCACATTGGACACAACCCTCCTCCTCTCCCTTTCCACTGCTGCAGCGCACACTAAAATGAAAAGAAATAATAAAAAGATTTAATAGGGAACCCCCAGATATCTCCATGCGGCCTATAATGCGCAATTTCTAACACACATGCACTCGTGATACATCCCGGTGGTAGATAGCGTTTATCACATGGGTCCGGATCCTCGTTACGTCCTAATTCTTTTTATGTTTTAAAAATGGATCTGAATTCTGGTTACGCCATAGAAAAAATAATCTGGATCCTGCATAGAAAAATTAATCTGGATCCTGGTTACGTCCTAGAAAAATGGATCTGTATCCTGGTTACGTCCTAGAAAAATTTATCTGGATCCTGGTTATGGCCTAGAAAAATGAATCTGGATCCTGGTTACGTACTAGAAAAATGAATCTGGACCCTGGTTAAGTCTAGAAAAATTTATCTGGATCCTAGTTAAGCCTAGAAAAATTATCTGGATCCTGGTTACGTCCTAGAAAAATTAATCTGGATCCTGGTTATGGCCTAGAAAAATTGATCTGAATCCTGGTTACGTCCTAGAAAAATTAATCTGGATCCTTGTTATGGCCTAGAAAAATGAATCTGGATCCTGGTTACGTCCTAGAAAAATTAATCTGGATCCTGGTTATGTCCTAGAAAAATTAATCTGGATCCTGGTTATGGCCTAGAAAAATTAATATGGATCCTGGTTATGACCTAGAGAAACATTAATCTGAATCCTGGGTACGTCCTAGAGAGAAAACTAATCTGAATCCTATGTACGTTCTAGAGAAAAAATTAATCTGGGCCCCGGTTATGACCTAGAGAAAAATTAATATGAATCCTGGGTTCGTCCTAAAGAGAACATTAATCTGAATCCTGGGTACGTCCTAGAGAGAAAATTAATCTGGATCCTGGTTATGACCTAGAAAATACAGATCCAGACCTCGATCCAGCTAATGTATATTATTTAGTTAATTTATGTGATGAAGTGATTTAGCAATCAAAGATTAGTCAGGTTTGATCAATATCTCTACCAGAGAACAAGAGAACTAAAGAGCGTTGATTCTAATTTTTAAATCTGAATCCTGGGTACAACCTAGAGAAAAAATTAATCTGGGTCCTGTTTATGACCTGGAGAAATATTAATCTGAATCCTGGTTATGACCTAGAGAGAAAATTAATCTGGATCCTGGGTACGTCCCAAAGAAAATACGGATCCAGATCTCGATCCAGCTAATGTATATTATTTAGTTAATTTATGTGATGAAATGATTTAGCAATCAAAGATTAGTCAGGTTTGATCAATATCTCGGAAGTTGACAAGTAAAAATTTGGAACTTTCCGAGCAAACATTTTTTTCAGTATGTTTTGAATGATATTTTGCCACTAAAATCCCGATCCAAGGAGCTAAAATGTGGGGGGGGGTCCGGATCTTAAGAAGTACTGCTTTTAACAGATATCTACCTCGTAACATAAGCACATGTGTCCGCACACATATAGAACACAATCCACGCTCGCCTCGTAGCAGATCTTGCATTCGTCCGTACTCTTGGTTTCCTTACTCCGGGAGGGTTGCTCAGCACTGGTTTCCTGAGATCCACAACATCCGTCCTGGTTTAGCTCCTCAGGTTCAGAACTGGAGCAGAAAAACAGCGAGTTATTAATATTCGCTCTAATAAACAATAAAGTTCAATGTGCTCTAATTCATATTTATATTATATCAGATTCTGACCCTTTTAACCATTGCATGATACATAATATCATGGTAAAGAAATCAGTAAAGTCACATGAGGTCAATCTTTGAGTCAATTTACAGCACAGTGAGCCGAATGTTATGCTTCCTTGGTTTTTTATACATTTATGTTTGAAACCTACTCGTTAAGTACCTCTTTCAAACTTTTATTGAATAAAATTACAGTAAAAATCTATATATGTATAATAAAATGTAAACAACCATCTAAATGGTTGTTTACTTGCTCGTTAAGTACCATAAGACCCATAAAACTGTGGAATAGGAAGACGACATTTAAACAATCTAATGCGTTTAATGTATGTGATAATGTTACAAAGCAAAAAAGTTACTAGAAGCTTGAAAATTAAGTTATCAAGTGAAATGGGCTTGTTTATACTGCATACTGCATCATTGCTTTGATTCATGTTCATTGGACTTTTTGAATTCATAACTTGAGTCTAACAGACGTCTTTCTAACCGTTTTATGGTTCTCACGAACATAATGATTAGTTCATATTTAATAAAAAAACCTGGAAGGTTGAGGATCATCTTGCTGTAAAGCACGAGGGGGTTGTGTCGGAGGCTGACCGGAGGCTGCTCGTCTAGGTGGAGGTATCGGAGGCGCATCCAGATTATCCGTCCTTTCCAGATCCAGATCTGAGATTGATAAATTATTCCGATCATTCTCCAGGGAAGCATTGCTGTTCTGTCGGAGTTGATCGGGCCGAATAACTGGCTGGGTTGTAGAGCCGACCATACGGAGCCTCTGTGTGTTCCCGTAGATATCCCAGAACATCCAGAGATTGACACTAGTATCCACGTGCATGAAAACACTGGGAATATTTCCGTTCTTGGAGAACTCGACCGATCCATCCTCTTTGACACAAAAGCTCAGTTCATCTCCCTCGTCTGGAGAGTTAGCAACATCCTTAGACACAACCCAGTACTCTGGACGGTCCAGGAGCATATCTGAATCCTCCGGTAGCGTCTCCGGATCTATACTTGCTGGATCACAGCTGGTGAGTCCGAATGCCAGGCTGCCAATATACATGTTTTCCGTTGCAAGAACTTGAATGACTAATCTATCTCCCGCTTTGACTGGTTGGCTGGTAAACACATATCCGTTGGAATATTCGTCCTCATGTCTCCAGGCTATTGTACCGTTCCCGTTCAAGGATGCATTAGGTCCCGTAAACCTGTGAAAATGTAGCTCTTTAAATCTAAATCCTGAGTTGAACCTCAATGGCATTTCCTCGTCATTTGAGTTGTGATCAAGAGAAAGATCGTCCAGGTTGTTTAGAACATTATCATTATCACTGACTGGAACACTCTCTTCTTCAATAACATTATCCTCTTCCGGCGTATCCTCACCCCTGGCGAAATTATTAAGACTTCTGCGCATGTCAACAAGTTCAAGAGCAGTGCAATTCCCATAAAGATCTATTAAACACCAGAGGGGTTGTCGAGTATCTACTCCGCTAAAGAAAACTCCTTTGTCCCGCCCATTAACTCCAAAATGAACATCACCGTTTGGCGTGTAATAGTAATGAATAAGTGCGTTGGATTCTGCATAGCGTTCTGTCAGAGCTTTTGCCCAATAGCCGGGCTTGCCCGTTAGGTCCGGGCATGCATACTTTGGAAGAGTTTGAATGGAAAGCGGGTTGTGTGATGTAAAACCGAATCTGAGAACTCCGCTCCATCGTATTGATAGTTCTGTCAGACGAATGCAAACCCGTTCTCCACAATCTACGGGACGATCGCTGAACAGGATTCCTTTGCAAAAACTTTCTGTTCTCTTAGCCTGGGAGCCCTCACGGAAAATCTGACAATTTTCTCCAAATTTTGAACTGAACTTCAGGGGCGGCTGGGAACTAAAAACAAATACCATTAAAAATCTTTATTCCTAAAAAACAGCAATGGTTAGAGGTCCTGGATAATTTAACTGTAAAAAAATGCCTATGATATATTTTATTTAGTCAGAAATATATATACATCTTTAAATGTGAAACTAAATAAAAATACTAAATTTTACTTTACAAACATACAAGATTAAGAGGAAAACATTCAAAACAATATTTTCAAAATTTATTGCTTGTCATTTTTTTAAACTTCAAAAAATCTGCGTTGTAAAAAATTATAAAACCTGTTATTTGATATTGCGCCGCCGTTGAAAGCGTAGAATGTTGAGTTGTTTGAAGCACTTTGTATTTGCCCCATCTCACAGTTCTAATTTTAAATATTTGGCATCCTGGACCAAAACAAGATTTACATCTTAACAGTAAAAACTCTGAAAAAAAAGTTTAGAATAAACATCAAAATGAGGAACATTTAAACGAGGCTCTGTGTTGCAGGAGGTTATTATAACTAGCTAGCCATTAATCAGATAATATTAAACATTATTATTTGTTCTTTAAAAAAAGTAATTTTTATGTTATTTCGTATGTAGTTGAAACACTAGTTGTTTGAGCAAATATATTTGAAGATGGTAATAAAATAGAAATTTTCATCATTTTGAATTATTAAAAATTGGAAATTTTCGTCAATTTGAATTATTAAAAATTAGAAAAATTTCAAAACTAGTCATTTTGTGAAAACAGTATAAACAGTAATTCTTAATTAGACACTATTAGTGATAATTCCACAGAAAAGAACTAAACGATTTTTGTACATGGATTTCGCAAGTAACTCATGCATAAAATTGGTCATTTGGCCGCAGCGCCCGGCCCCCTAGCCTGTCTTAGACGCGGCGCTCTGCCCCCTAGCAGCAGTGCTCGACCCAGAAATTGTCTTAACCTAACCTAACCCTAAAATAATAAAAAATAAATGATAATAATAAAATAGTGGTCATGTACAAAATTGATAGGAGGGGGGGGGTCCAATTCGTTCTCTAGTAGAGTTGATTAACCCAAATCATTTTTCAAGAATTATAATTTTTTTCACGTATATGTAATCATTTATGTGATTTTTTACGATTACATTTGTCTGTTTCGTCTGTTCTGTTCTACTGATTAGAAGGTATCACAGAGCTAAGTAATAATTTTCTTCCATCCTATTTATCCCAAAACTAGTCTGACTTTTCATTTTTCATTTGATATGATAAAAAAATATACTGACAATTAAAACTTAAAACATGAATAAATCCTGGGATAATTAATTTTCCCAGTTATATTTTTTTGCATTTTTTTCAATTTACTTTTGGTGAAATCAGACTAGAGAGAGGAAACGAGGTTTGGTGAATTATCTTAAACCTTGTAAATAGTTTAGTGTAGCGGTGGGAGTGTCTGTTCAAAAATAAACAAGATAGAGATTAGAGAAGACTGAAATATGTCTCATTCAAGCCGGAGATTTTTAATTATTAATTGACATTTTTAAAATAAACTAGAGGTATTTTTGTTTTATCCGTTTTTTTGGACCCCCCTCCAGTTTATCAATTTTGTAAATGCCATGCAACTTATGTATCTCAAGCGTCTAGTCGGCGCTCTAGCTGTCCTCGCCGCGGCGCTCGGCCCCCTAACCTGTCTAAGCCGCAGCGCTCGGCCCAGAAATTGTCTTAACCCAACCTAATCCTGAAATAATAAAAATTGAATAATAATAATTTTGCTGAAAAAGAAGTGGTCATGTACAAAATTGATTGGGGGAGCGGTGGGGTTCCAAAAATCGTTCTAGGACAGACCCGGGGGGGGAGGGGGTCCAGAAAGCGTGGTCTTGCCGTGACTGAGCCATTTCTTACATCATGACATTTCTACAAAATTTGATTTCAGATATCTGTGATAACCTCCTATTATCTAAAATGTCCCATCAGACTGGTATCGGAGCTAGTGACAGTTTAAGACAGTTCTTTGGAAAATGTCGGGACGGACAATATAGGGTAGTGAAGGTATATTATTTCGCATTAGATATCATTATATTTATATATATATGGTGTCCCAATAAACACGGGATCGTCTTTGGGATTTTTAATTATTGAGAAATGTTTAAGTGTGTCTAAAAACGGTCGCACGTCTTAATGAGCCTCTTTGTATTACATATTTACCCAATCAAAAAATAAACCGAAATTATCGATGTTTTGGACAAAATTCTAAATTTTTTTGTTATGTTTGGATTTTAGGCATAAAAAAACAAAATGTGATAAAAAATTCCAAAAACATTTTGAACAAAAAAAAACGCGAAACTGAATTTTTTTTTGTAAATGAAATTAAAAAAAATAGTTTGAGATAGAAAAAAACCGCAGAACTTTTAGAGTGGAAATCTCCAGTAAATGTTACCTTAAAACTTTCATGACTTCAAAAATGCAAATAATAAAGCATTAAGTGCAGACTATATTTAGGAAATCTTAAGACTGAGAGGTTTTGTTTTACAAATTCATTGATACATTTTTTAAAGTAAAGATAATTTTTGCATATTGTACAGCTTAAATTAATTTGAAGAATTGGAATATATATAACCCTGAGTTGATAAATGTTTCTTAATCGAGTCTTCCTTAATAATTATGTTTTTATGTGTTCTTTGTGAAAGGTTTCTATAACTGGAGATGCAGGACCTGAAATGAATATGGATGAGAGTAAGGAAAGATCTGGATCCTGGGACGAGGACTGGGATTCTCTCCTGGTTCCTCTGGTAGATCAGGATCAACCTGCGTACTTCCTTTATAGGTAGAGCTCGTCCCGTCTTATCTTTACTCATATTTTATCTAGACCTGGAGTACAGTGTTTCGGATCCGGATCCGTATCAGGAAACGTTGATATGGATCCGGGTAGCGCCAAAAATTAACCAAAACCATGGAATAAATAAATCAAAATGGTTCGTAAATGTATTATTTACATGACGAAAATTTTTCAAAATTATCTTTAATAATTTAATGTTTACATTTATATAATAGTAATGACGACATTTTTAACTTTAGGATTACTATAGTTTATAAATTATAACCTTGCATAACATTTAATAGGGAAAATCTGATTCACAGAATCAAAAGTTACCTCGGATCCGGATCCGTATCAGAGTCAGGATCCGGATCCATCATCACGGATGCGGATCCGCGGATCCGGATCCGAATCAAAATGATATGGATCCGAAACACTGCCTGGAGACATTAGGTCCGTCCCGTCTAGAATTTTGTCAGTACTTTGTCCGTACCAAGAGAATTTAAGGGAAGCTTAAATCCGTCCTTGTCTCACATGCATCCATACTTTTATCTAGTCCAGTGAAACTTACATATTCGTCCCGTCTTATATTCGTCCATACTTGTATCTAGCCGAGGGTATCTTTAACCCGTCCCGTCTTATATTCTTCCATACTTGTATCTACACCTGGAGACTTTATCAGTCCCTTTCTCACATTCGTCCATACTTGTATCTAGCCGAGGGTAGCTTAAACCCGTCCCGTCTTATATTCTTCCATACTTGTATCTACACCTGGAGACTTTATCAGTCCCTTTCTCACATTCGTCCATACTTGTATCTAGCCTGGGAAAGCTTTAATCCGTCTTGTCTTATATTCGTTTGGTTTTACTTTTGTTAATAATATATATGAAATAGAAAGGTCCTATAAATCCCTCCGATCTTACATTCGTTCATTCGTGCATTTGTTGATTTTATTTTTACCTGCTTACCTGTAAACTACCTAATAATTAGATGAAGATATCTTTTCTTCATAAATATCATTTTTTAGGTTGGATGAGAAGGATTCCTCCTCTGGGTTTCTCTGGGTCTTTATCTCCTGGTCCCCAGACCATGCACACACTAGGTACCAACCTCAACTCCATCAACCTCATCTCAATTTACTCATATTTTTTTATTAACAATTTTTTTTAATTATCTTACAGATCTCCTACCAAATTGAAATAATCAAGATAATTTATAAAGTACATTTTTTGTACTGATCACTCTGGGATAAATGAAGTGGTGAAAAGTGATGATAATAGAATTAAAAAGAAATCAAGTTACGCCTTCGGCCTACGCTCAAACTGACTAGAATGATAGAACATAAAACAAGATTGTACGCAAAGAAAAGTTGATCTCAAAAACAACATTTTAAATATCTTTTTTTAAAGTTAGGGTTTAAAATATTAAACTTTGGTATGTATTTATATTCAGACAGGATTTAAAATAAAAAAGGACAATTATTGCTTTTTTTCTGTTATTAAACAAGAATATAATTACTAATCCTGAGAATTGTAGATTTGTGCAGTAAAATTGACTCGCAGATTTCTGCTGCAGAAACAATGAAGGAAATCGTAAGAACTTAACGCACCTCATGGTTGAACGATATCTTCCTAATTGCTACTCAGATAGAGTTTAAAGGTAACGTTGTGAATCGTGTATGTGACTCTTTATATGAGGTGCACTTGAGGTTAAGTCTAATATTCAGTTTTAAAATTAGCTTATCTTGTATGAGAGCTGTGTTGATATTAATATATGGCCGACAATATACTGTAAACAAGGATGTATGCAACCAAGGTGTGTATACTAAAGGTAGGGTGGACAGTATACTGTAAACAAGGATGTATGAACCAAGGTGTGTATACTAAAGGTAGGATGGACAGTATATTGTAAACAAGGATGTATGCAACCAAGGTGTGTGTACTAAAGGTAGGGTGGACAGTATACTGTAAACAAGGATGTATACAACCAAGGTGTGTGTACTAAAGGTAGGTTGGACAGTATACCGTAAACAAGGATGTATACAACCAAGGTGTGTATACTAAAGGTAGGTTGGACAGTATACCGTAAACAAGGATGTATGCAACCAAGGTGTGTATACTAAAGGTAGGGTGGACAGTATACTGTAAACAAGGATGTATGCATGAACCAAGGTGTGTATACTAAAGGTAGGGTGGACAGTATACTGTAAACAAGGATGTATGCATGAACCAAGGTGTGTATACTAAAGGTAGGGTGGACAGTATACTGTAAACAAGGAGGGGTGTATGCAACCAAGGTGTGTATACTAAAGGTATTAAAACTGCTAGTAACTAGTTTTATTTTTGATTTTTTAAACAAAGGTCAATTTTTCCTGGACGTGGTTATAAGCCCGGGCTTGTTGTTTATTTACATTAAATCAGTTTTCTGAGCAGTACAGTAAGCTGTAGGCAAACCTTACTCTCCCTACCTTTAGTATTCATACCTTATCATGAACTATGAAGAAAAGTATTGATCCCGTTACATAAATACATGCTCTGTACTTCTACATTAGATTAGAAATCAACTCCATTTAAGGAATTCACTTCAGTTTACTATCTAGAATCTTAAAGGCAATAGTTCAGTGGGGGGAGGGGAAGTTGTGCAGGGGGGAGGTTATTTAAA